ATTTTCTAAGAAAGTCAAAACATAATTATTTCTATGCCTTTTGCTCAATAGGTTATCAACTCACTATTATACGATCATAGGTGTCATTCTCACACTTAAATCTCATTTACACAGGAAATAACAACACAATTACCTCCCGTGTTTTCCTATTGAAAACAATGGTCAGCCATTTCCTCAACGTTGGAATTTGAAGTTTAAAATGATATTTTTGCCAATTTCTCAGCTGGCAATAGTGAATTATAGGATTAATAGGATTATTCTTTAACAAGATAGGACTGTTTATGGATACCATCTATTTTAAGGCTATATTTTAATAAATTTAAAAAATATAACTTAAAAATTTGAAATTTCCGCTTTATGACTTGGTGTGTTCCTTGAAATTGTTATAGTGGAATCATTATGAAAAATTGGCCACTTAGATAATTACATTTCTGTGATCATATTGATTATATAATTATATACATTGCCATAAAATAACCATATCGTGAAGTCTCCTTAGACTTGCAATAATGTAGTGCATTCTACATTTCGTTATGGCAATTTAGCCGCCGTAAAGTCTAGCTGGTTTTGGTCTGACGGGTACAAGATGTGGCGGTACTCTACATAAACCATATCAAGAACACAGGGGATGTCCCTTGGCAGCAGGGTCCGCGACAGGGACCTCTGGGCCCCGAGACAAACAACTAGGCGAGGGGTGTGTGTGTGTGTGTGGGGGGGGTCTCTCCCCAAGAGTTCGAATATATTTGAAAGATACATGGTCTCTAGCGTCATTTTGGCGTATATCGGGGGTAACTGGAGGTCACTTAGCTAAAACACATTGGTCCGCAATCGGCAAAAATATCGAAAAACATCGAGATTTTTTAGCGGTTAACGAAACGAAGACGAAAGTAAAAATTCCGCTTCCAGTTTCGATTTTGAAGATCAGATAACAGTCAGCCTAATCAGAGCCATCGATAACTGCGTACATGATTACTGCCGACAGAGCGCGACACGGGCGCTTATTATCATTGTAGCGTTTACAGGCCCGGACTAGGCCCCGATTACCTGCCGGTGACGAGAGCCTAAAAAACGAGGTCGGGCCCGGGCACCACGACGCGACGGTCAGGGAAGGTGACTAATAGTTTTTAATTCACCAAATTTTCCCCCAAAGTGGACTGACAAAATCCGAGAAGGCCCGGACAGGAGGCTTATACAGTGTAGTGGTTTTCGATTCTAATCCTATCCACACCACTAGGTACCCACTTCCAGAAAAGTCACGGGTAAAAGTCACCTGGATAAATGTTCCAGTTGCCCCCCCCCCCCGCCTCTCACGGGCCCTGCCTGCAAGGCCCTCAGTCCTGCAGGCCTAACAATGAGGAACCACGTCGGAAAATCCCGATAAACTTTCTCGACCAACGCAAGTATCGAACACGGGAGCTCTAGGTTAGCGAGCCCTTATCTTACGCACTGAGCGATCGTCGGAAAATCCCGTTGAACTTTCTCGGCCAACGCAAGGTCGAACACGGATTCTCTAGGTTAGCGAGCCCTTATCTTACGCACTCCAACCGACAGAATCCACATATGAAATTCATGCTGTCATATTTGTGTTTATCTTGTGTCTCATGTCTGGAGTGAAATCCAGTGAATTTATTCAACAGCAGGAATCGATATCCAATTATGTAATTCCGAATCAGACCGATTGGTTCAGTTTATTACAGTCCTGGTCATCTATTGTTCTAAGTCCAATGCACTGGGTCTCAATATCAACTACAGTATTCATTAATCATAGATCTCAAGAGAGGTCTTCAAAACTCAGGATTTCACGAATACGAGACTTTTACAAATAATTGAAAGGGCGATGATTTAATGACGAAATATTGATGAAAACAATAACTATAGTCGTAAACCTTTGACTGTCGCCTTTGTTCAATCAATCTCGGCTGGTTACCCATCCTTGCACGGGTAGGTGTGGTGGGTTCGTTATGCCCAATTGCCAAAAACGCCTACTTTACATTTCTCTTATTATTTGACTGAAATTTTAAGCATATCCACTTTATCTATTTTTTTTAACTATTATAACGAGAACTGTCAGCTTTTTTTTTTATCTAAATCTTCCATAATGTATCTTTAAATTTGGTTATTATGAAGTTATTTGAAATGAAATGAAATGAGGTTTAACGTCCTACTTTTCTGCTCCGATTGGGCTAATGAAGATGGGCATACGCCATACAGTGTGCTATGAGGGAAGTTTTGCCCGGGCAGCGGCACTATGGCCTACTCTTATAACGAATTCCAACTGCCAAGGGATCTTTAACGTGCACGCCAATGAAGATATTTAAAAGGAAAGCTAACATATTACTCATGGAAATAATTGCACTGCAACTGACAATGTTTTGTCAAGATTCATAAAAAAAATTGTCTCAGAACATACAGGTTTATACAGGATGTTACTTGGATTGGTCCTACTCAGTGAATATATACAACCTATTTGGATAGGTCCCACTCAGTCAATATAAACAACCTATTCTCGTACAGAGAATACAAGAGTATTGCGACAACCTATATGACGAAATAAAAAACATGATGAACTATTTTCTCTCTTAACAGAATGTGAAGAGATATTTGGATGACTGTGGAACAGTTGCTATAAAATACTATGATTGATTGAACATCTGAAGACTTGCAGACGACCAGATGTTTTTATATGACGAATGATGTAAATGATGTGTTGGAATTAACAAACACGAGAATGAGCAGATCTATTCAGTGTTTTAACTTTCTTGACAGACAGATTTCCTTTTTACAAACCATCTTGACAGCACAGGTTTTTTTGTATTTGTATGTTGGTATTCGTGGAGCTAATAGGCCATTGATTTTCTCTGTTCAGTATAATTGAATCTGGGGTTTGTGTGGGAATAAAACACACATGTTGGTCTGACATGTGAAATACGAGATGATTGAGTTAGATTTTGGCTTACAGAATCAAGTTAAAGAGAGAGTCCACTCACCTATGATGGTAAAATGTCAATAAAACGCTTACGGGTAGGAAGGTTTTTTTTTGGGAAGTAAAACCGGAGAACTCGTACAAGTATAAAATCCCCCACCATCGCCTTCTATCAAGTTAAAGAGAATGGAGAGGTTTTATATCATTTGAAGATACGCTTCATCGAACATATCTATATGGTACTCATATTTCCAATAAAGATATGCAAATTTGGTATATACATAGAGAAAGCTACGCACTCAATCTTACTGAAAAACGCCCATGGGGCGCACACAGGACAAACAGGTAAGGGTATGACTCACTGACTGTTTGTCGGCTTGTGGTCTGCTCGAGTGACGCAGGGATAGGAGCACTCCGTATCTGTTGGCTAGCGGCTGTGAGAACATTGCGAGACTTAAACGTACAGCAGACTCTGCGATTAAACAACAGAAAAAGAAGTCGACAGAGGTCAGTACAAGAATTTACTTAAGATTTGATATTCATGGTAAATGGACAGCGAGTAACGACAAATGCAAGGATAATATATAGTATATTGATTCTTTAATTTTAATTTAACCGGCAACGCCAACGCTACGCTATATTTTATTTTAAAACTACATGTGTCTTAATTAGCAGGGGTTTGGGCGTGTGTGTGTGTGTGGGGGGGGGGGTAGGGTTAGATTAGGGTTAAACTACTTGTAACTCGCAACGCTACGCTACATGTTATTTTAAAACTATCAGTGTATTCACATTAAGTGTCCATCAACTCACACCGTCATTCCAGCAGAATTAACCTCCGCCCTATTACCATGATCTGGAACATGTCCGTCATGCTGTCAGTTAAGATTGGAGATGCCATTAGTAGAACTTAGTCATCATCAGTTTTTGACATTTTAAATTCAGAACCATTAAGATTTTAAAAGACCAGATAGGCAGTGTTTAAACGTGCTTAATGTCTCGCCATCACCTGTCTTGTAAACGTAATGGAATAAAATAAAATGGAATGGAGATTAATGTCCCACTTTTCTGCACCGACTGGGGTAGTGAATAAACCTAATTAATGGGGTACAATGTCTCGTCAAGTGCGTCCTTGTAAATATAATGAAATGGGTGAGATGCGTATACAGCACCTTCTTTGTAAATGTAATGGAATGGGTTTTACGCTATGTCAACACCTTTCTTGTAAATGCAATAATGTGTTTAGCGTCACGCCAACGTCATCCCTGTAAATGTAATGACGTGTTTAGCGTCACGTCAACACCGTTCCTGTAAATGTAATGATGTGTTTAGCGTCACGTCAACGCTGTCCCTGTAAATGTATTGATGTATTTAGCGTCACATCAGCACCGTCCTTGTAAATGTAATGATGTGTTTAGCATCACGCCAATGCCGTCCTTGTATTGATGTGTTTAGTGTCACGTCAACACTGCCCTTGTAAATGTAATTTTGTGTTTAGCATCACGCCAACATCGTCCTTACGTCTCGTCAACACGCCATTGTGTTATTTAGATGTTATCACATCTTTATTTTAATTTTACATCTTTGTGAGAGCAATTGGCCTGGAAATTGATATTTAGGAATAGTTGTCATATGCATTAGCATTCCTTCTGTAATAATACTACTGGTTGTGCAACAAGTGAGAAACTGTTTAGTCATGTCTTGAACACCATTAGGCTAAACATAATCACTCTGTTGTGATTGGTCGTCAAAATCACCAAATTGCCGCGCATGCCTGACGTCAGCCCACCATAATCAAGGAATTAGATTAGCGCCCAAGTTTGTTCTAGAAATGAACAAATAATGTCTCCATGTTTCGTAATCTGTATTATTATAATAGAAGGCCGGCTGATGTACCCGGTTGTTCGTGGTCGGGGTTTTCAGTTCCATCGTCAAGATATGTTATGAATGTCGGGCCTGTGGGCCAGATATTTTGATTGCGGTCGTATTCCCCCAAGCCACATATAATGGACAGACAGACAGACAGGGGTGACGCCAACTATCAGACCATTAAACAGAAAAAGAAGTAATGTATGTTTACCTTTCTGATCTAAATCAAAATCCTCCATGGAACATTTCTCCGCACCATAGGCGATAAATATAGTTTCATCTTGGAAAAAATCTGACAAACATGTCACCTGAAATATATTGTAAATTGAGATTTAAGGTCTATCTGTAGCAGTTTATCATTCTGAACATAGAGAACAATATATTTCAAGAATAGATCTCTGTCCTGAAAGACCGCCATATCCAAAGCTCAGTAATGAGGTTCTACTGCATTACACAGCTGTAATTACACACACAATGATTAAATAAACAATTTTAATTTATTAAATGAAAGCGAGATAAATACTTCTCAAAATTATCGATTTAGATCTTAAAATGTCTTTCAACTAGCTTAGTGTCTATCTCAAGTGGAGCTAATGGTAAACAGACAGCGTAAGTTTAGTATGGCGGTTTGCGTTTCTTATGACATGATGTAACCATCTTTTATATTGCGATTTAATATTATTTTTGTATTAAAAATTATTCACATTCATGAATATGAATGTTTGGGTATGTGGGAATACGCACCATGTACGCACTTAACCTTATATGAATTTTTAAATGAAATAATGTTTCTTTTTTTATATATACACGTATATTAAACACAGGAGGATTTCTATTTGTGATGCAGAATGGAGGATCTGGCAAGGGCAGTGTCTACTTGTTCGGGTGTGACGAAAATCCGAGGTCCCATCTACATAATGGCGTGCACGTAAAGAAATCTTGGCAGTTGGAATTCGATATTAGAGTTGGCCGTAGTGCCGCTGTCCGGTGAAGAACAATAGGACGTTAATACCCATTTCATTTCGTTTTCAAGATTATGTAAAGTGCTTTCAAGATTTACAAAGTATACCATCGTATGCGAGCTAAGGTAATTGAGTACATATTGGTTTGTATACATATATTAAACAGAATTTTCGTCTCTGAAAAAAAAGAAATTTCTTTGTATAAATGAAGTAAGTGTTGACAGATCTCCATGTAATTATTAAATATATACAAGGGTTAATAAAACCTGTGTGTCGCCATGTAAATTATATACAAAGTTTTAATATAACAGTCGAGTGTATGTAAAAAAATACCTTTTTTTTATGTATAATATATACAAACTTTAATAGAACAGTTAAAGTTACAGACAGATCTAAGTTGTTTAAATTGATCTGAAGCATCAGAGATAATAGGACCACACTTCATGATGTGATGATAGGACCACACTGCATGGAGAAATTTAAAGAGGCATTATGTAAGATTTAGATAAAGAGCTGGTCGTTCTCGCTATAATTTTCAAAAATAAATAATACAAAATGAATATATTGAAAATTTCATTCAAATTACTATATTTTTAGCCAATTTATCAAAGGTTGTAGTTTTCACATGATGTGTGAATTGATCGTAACCACCATACTGGTCATTCGAGTCTTTGCCTTGCTTCTCCATTTTTACATTAAATCATTAAATGGACGTTCTAATCTACTTAAAATCGGATCTATCCGAGGGCATCGAGGGTTGATATGGTCTTTTCATGTTAATATCTAAGTAATAATTTGTATAACATTTAAGGCCCAAATTAAGACCTACAATAGGCAAATTTATCTCTTACGTAATGCCTGTTTATCACGTCCAGATAAATTTGTAGCTGTTTTGCCATTTGCTTGCTATAATCCGTGTACTTAATGCCTCTAAAGATTACCCTTGAAGTCCAATCTGATTAAAATACAGATCTATATTTCGTTTCGTTTTTTTATACTTTCGATGGCCTGGCCTACACTACATGACAAGTTATAGTGTGAGTTCACAGGGGTCAAACGAGCGGTTTTTTACACTATGACGTCAGACATTAATTAATTAATTGTGTCATGTGACGTAAGAAATGTTCTGTGTAAGGTAATTCAATGGTCAGTGAGCAGCTAAAAATACTAATATACGTCCTCGTCTGGACCAGTTACAGTGAGCGCGGTTAATCAGTTATTGTTGGGAACGGTCCGATTTACAGTTTGTTCGTTCTGCGTGGTAGGGGTACAGCATCACTGAAAATGCTTGAGAGTAGCCATTTATAATTCGTTAGAATATGTTGATGGTTTTTAGATACATTTTATGTTAGTCATGTGGTAATGTACATTAGCTTTTGGGATGGAGAAATTAGATTTTTGACTGGGATACCCCACTATTGAAAAAGTCTGGCAATTATCATTCTTATGCTGAGCATTTTGCAACAAGTTTCGTGCGATAAGTAAATGGGCTCATCTGGCTTAGCCTTTTGTGTGGGGAAATAGAAAACATCTGAATGGGAAGTATTATGTTAGTTTCCCACAATAATGAGGTAGTATTTGGTAGTATTTAGTTATTATTGGGTACTAGTGGGTAAATCGCCCAGCCCAACGTGGATATCCCACCACTGAAAATTTCTTGAGGTGGTCTTTTTTGATACATGTGAATTTGCTGAACATTTTACAACATGTTTCTTGTGGTTAGTAAATCGGATAGTGGGGTAGGATGGGCCAGTTAGGGGCGCCTGACGAGTCTACCCCACCACTGAAAATATCTGACAGAAGCCAATTTTGATGCACGTGACGATGCTGAACATTATGCAACATATCCCATGCAGATAGTAAATGCGCTGATCTAGCTTAGTTCAAATATAACACAGTTCCTAGTTCCTCGATCAATTTTAAAGGTCATGTCATGTCCAAATTCAATTAAAAGAGAGTATGTTTGGGCCAGACGGAGAGTATAATTTTCACCTCTTTGGGTCAATATTGTATTTGGGTTCTCGTGAAATTACAAAATGTCTGGCCTAGACGACGTTAGGTCAATATACCAGATAAAGGAATTACACTCACCAAGAAACCATTAAATAAATCTATTGATACAGATAGCAGTTAGCTATGTCCGGGAAATTACTGATTAACATGGCCGAGTAATGATGCTTAGATTCCAGCTCACGGATTAAGATAGCCGAGTAATGAAGATAGAGAGGAACTAGGATAAGGAACTGGATGACCCGATTTACAAATCACAAACACATTAATCAGTGGCTCCTGATTCTGAAAACAGTTCCGATACCAACTTACTTCAATGGTCCAAATTGGAAGAGTTCTCAGTACGGGACGCTTATATTTGAACCATTTACACTACTATTTTTTTTTACCGTTATCGGAACCGTTTCTGTCACTCATAAAATCTGTAATGTAAACGGGCTTTTAGGTTCTTGTTTATTGACTCGGTGGTTGACTGCAATAAACTGTCTCAAGATAACGATTTGGGAGACTTCTAGACAGTTGAAGTAGATTGACGGGGTGGGCTTGGGTGTCACAGATTTGGGAATAAGACTTTTTTTGATATACATGTATATATTTATGGACGAAAATAATGCTTTCGATTTTGTCTAAATATGGTGATTTGTTTTATGGATGACGATCTGTCTTTGGAGACAATTTTATGTTTATAGATAAAGCCACGGTTGGAATATAGCCGATTGTGTGTTCCACTGTCGACGCAGTCGCCTAAGGCAAATAATGAAATTAAAATTGGTAATGAAACTGACTTATGCATATTTCAAATACAAAGGGAAGGTAAGTCTTCCTCTCAACAAATCGTAAGCCATACGTATGACCTTGGCTATTTCATCCAGGCTGATAATCGTCGTAGTCGAAGAATGATCGAGGCTAAGAATATAGAAACAGTGACCCCATCTCAACGGAATGATTGAGATTAAAAATAGAGAAACAGTGACACCATCTCAACGGAATCATCGAGATTAAAAAAAGAGAAACAGTGACACCATCTCAACGGAATCATCGAGATTAAAAATATAGAAACAGTGACGCCAAAGAGACGAGAATTAAAATTAGACTCAATGGTGCACTGTGTCCATTTAAGAGCGAGCTGAAATATTGTAACATATGCTGGATGATCGAGACTAAGACTACAGAAAGATTGTAATACGTAGTATTGATTTAGACTAAGAATATAGAAACACTGTAATTTAGTGCCACCTCGTTTCTTTATGATATCATTTATACCTAAAGGGCTACGTCATGCTATCTTTCTACCGAGTCATTAGTGAGTTATTAAATAACCACTCTAAACTGATCCGTGGAAGGAAACCACGTGAAGATACTTTCCTATAGCTTCTACCTAACTTAGTGTCATATTCCGTTACTTTAAGACGTGAGTGTATAATATGATCAATGCCATCCACCTGTCATTCTCCTCCCTACTCTTATCATGCAATATTCCCCGCCATTATTCTTGTAACCATAGTAACGCTAAAGCGCGACAGTGTGCTGATAAAAGCATTTTACAGCTTTCAATATTTATGCTAATCATTATGTTATACGGTTCATTGTTATAGAAACTCCGAGAGCATGTAATGACGGTCGTATCTATTAATTCCCAGATTACTATCTCCTTAATTAATAATCCCTATTAATGGCGTCTTATCAGAAATTAAATGGGGGTTAACCTATTTTTCTGCGTCTACTGGGCCAATGAGAAGACGAGCATACGCCATAGGGTGTACTATGAGGGACATTTTTTCCGGACACCGGCACTACTGTCTTCTATTATATCGAATTTCAAATGTTAAGGGTTCGTTTACGTACACGCCAATCTGTACACGTCAGGAGCTCGGTTTTTCGTCCCAACCGAACGGCTAGACACCGTTCCTTCTTAGACCCTCCGAACTGCACCACTGAAAAGCGGACGAGACCACACCGGAGTGAACGATATAACAGTAATATGTGAAAACCTGAGAAGGGGAACGTATAGTCGTTTGGATGGGACGAAAAGAGTAGACTGGAGTGCCGCTGTCTAGGCAAAATTTCCCCCATGGTACACGTAATGGCGTATGCCCGTCTTGATTAGCCCAAATCAAATTGTTTCAATGGCATTTAGTAATTGAACTGGAATATACAGGTCACAATTCTATGGAATACAATTACTGCTTAATGAATAGAGAAACCTAGTTTAAACGTCGCTCAGTAATAAGCAGTAATTGTATTCCATAGAATTATCACCTGTATATTCACTAGCCCAGTCGGATCAGAAAAGTTCAACGTTTAACCCCATTTCATTTCGCAATATGTAAAATATAGACCTACCTGTCTACCGTCCACGGTAAATATTTTCTTGACGCTGCCGGAGTCGAGTTTAATAGCTTCCGTGATATCATCTAGCACTTGGGAGAAGGAATGGGCAGTCTTTTTATTTAACACAATACGCACGGCTTTACGTGGTTTTGATCCGTTTCTAATAACAGTAACTAATTTAGGTTTAATAAATCCCTTGTCCTCGTCTGTGAGGTCACGTGGTGATGTTGGCGTCTGTTCTTGTGCTTCACGCGCCTTGGCGTTGACGTTCCAATTAGGGTTGACTGATTTGTGGTATTCTATATCGCGGAAGATGTCGGTGGAAGCACACACATAACTCTCACCCTCCTCCAGCTGATCTAAATTTGTGATTATCTTGGCAGAATCCACTGAGAATATATATCTAACTCCTTGAGGAAGAACGTTTTTGTCACACAATGGACTCGACGTCAATTCGGCCAACAGAGATTCAAATGTTCGAAACCGCTCGGCGGACACCGCATACAGCATTCCTTTGAAGAATCTGTCCCCATTTCGGTAAAATCGAACCTTTTTAGCTCGTTTATTCTCCGATACGCGTAATATGCTGTGACGTAAGAAATTGTTGCTGGCACTGGGACTGACGTTTCGTCCAGATTTACCTCCCTTGTATCCAACACGTGATCTGTCGTCTGCGAAATGGTCATCCCAGCCATTTTCAGTCATCCTGTAAAGAGAAGGTCACGTGGTTAATGGAGAAATTAAAAACATTTTAAAACTATATCAAGATTAGAAACATTTAAACTATACCAAGAATAGGAACACCCTTTTCAACGCACGTTGGGAAATTCCATGGGAATCACCACCAGACAAGTTTAAATAAAGCGTCCCTGTAGACCTAGTGTGAAAACACCAGACAGGACTCACAGATAGAAGACAGATATTAGAAGATGTCGAAATAAAATCATAAACGTTCGTATCTGATGGACTTAGATTAAAAACTGTCAACTATGCGAAATGAACAGGGAGTTGAACCAGGTATTCAATAATGCATAAATTATTAAATACTGTTGATCGATATAACATTTAGTCCCGAATTGACCGAGTTTGTGTCGAGTGGATGCTAAACCTCCATTTCTCCCTGCCAACATAAAATTGGAGAATATATTAAAATCAAAATTATTGTTTGAAATACTGAAACCACGCCCGAACAGAACTAGTCGACATAAAGTTTAAGAAAATGTTAAAATCAAAATCATTACTTGAAAATCCGAAACCACGCGTTACAATACTGTAAAGTTTGTATCTAACTCTCTAGTTACTATTGCTGAAATCAATTCTCTAAGACAAAACTCTGACAGATTGGCCTTTCTATGGAAATTATATCGTCGTATCTCCAGTAGATACTGCGAGTTGGGATTATATCTGAACTGGTGATTCACATGAATATCCAGTCATATAGGTTTGTTTTCAATTACATGTTTTCTATGATTCCATGGCCTCTCAGACGGAACTACGCCATTCAATCGATGATGACTCAATGCTGTAAGACCTATGATTTATAATGATATATTCAAAACCGGCCATTTTTGGGTATTTGTTAGCGTCATTGTATTACTTCCTGTCAAGTCTCGCGAAATAAAATATAAAACAATTGGCGTTGAGATATGACTTATGTGTTATTTATCAAAATACATTATGCATTTTTCTTTTTTCCGTCGGGGCTTCTAGTATTTCACATTTCGTTGCCAATCGTCTCTCTCATGCGCCATATAGAACGAAGGGAATGGATATTTTTGTTAAAAAGTTAATAAAATGTTTTTAGAACGGTTGCCAATATTAGTATAAGATTGTTCTTTTCTAAAGTAGCTTTCCTTTTCAAGAATATCCAAATGAAATGAAATGGGGTTTAACGTCCTATTTTGCTGCACCAACCGGGCATTATATAGTGTAATATGAGGGCAATGTTGCCCGGACAGTGGCGGCTATGGGTTCTTTTGCGTACACACGACACCACTTCTATACTGATATATTTTGTCAAGTGTACAATGCTAGGAAGTAGAATTTTGTCCGTACAGTGGTGTTTCCATCTACTCTTTATCCAATAACAAGTATTCGTGTACGCGCCTGACAATATGTGTACACGTGTGAACCTCGATTTTTCGTCCCATACGAAGGATTAGGCAACACTGTAATAATCAGCTCAACAGCCGCTTTCCGTGATCAATGGGAACCGGGATTGAATTGAGAAATCCCGAAGGTTCGTTTTCGCCCACATCGGGAATCGAACCCATGTCACCTTAAATAACGACAACAGGACAATTCGTATTACTATAATTAAATATTCTAATAATAAACCACACCTGATCAGCCAGGTCGCTCTTTAACTCGGCTCTCGTATTACCTGTTGATTAACAAAATCTTCTTATTGATCTTTAACGTACTTTTAATGCCCACTTTCACACAAGATCATATGGCAGTCTACTTTCACACAGGATCAGATCACAGTCCGCTTTCACACCCGATCACATCGCAGTCCGCTTTCACACCAGGTCATATCGTAGACAAAAGGTATTGTTATAGCAGTTTATAATGGATTAGTAGTAATAATTAACCGCCATTAGCCACGGATTATCGGATAAGGCTGGTCAGCAAGCTAAAGTTACGCTGTTTGTTTGCAATTAGCTCTGCTTGAGAATAGTCATGAAGTATTTATTCTGCTTCCATTTAATGAAATTAAAAATGTTTATTTAGTCTTTGTGTGTACGAAAGGCAGGCCTATAAAATGGAGATTAGAGTCGCATTACTAAATAGTATAACTATTCTTTTAATATCGCGGCCATTTAGGACAGAGATCTATTCTCATAGTAGACAGTTCTATGTGGACAGAATGAGCTCATCACTTCTTCTGTGATACCAAATATTATATAATAGAAATAGAATGAAATAGGGTTTAATAACTTCGTAGTTTTCTGTGCCGACTGGGCTAATAATAATGGGCATACACCATACAGTGTGCTGTGAGGGAAATGTTGATCACTCTTATATCGAATTCTAACTGCCAATGTGTGCACGGGACAGCGGGTTTTTGTCCCACCCGGACGACTATATTCTATATTCTCTCCGTCCTACCCAACTGACAAGGGGGAACTTTGAACACCGGGGTCGAACACGGCATAGGGCGACCAGGTCAGTGAGCCAACGTCTTACCCACTGAGCCAACTCGGCTCCATACATAGAATGATTATGGATTATTATTAAATCAAGACAGACATAAACTGGGTTCCCAATTCTATTTAAAATAACTACTTTATCCTTTCTGTAATCTGTCTGATATCTGGACTAATTTAAGCTATTGTTATAGATTAAAGCCATTCTTGTCAATTCTTGAACATGTCGTTCTATTTTGAAAATAAGGGGGTGGAGCCGAGTGATCTAACCAGGCGCGGATCCAGGATTTTTTGAAGGGGGGGGGGTCTAGGTTGGATAATTGCTTAACTAATTGCGGTGGGCGTATGCCACCGCCGCGAGCGCCAAAGGCGCTAAACGTTGTATTGGCAAAATTGGCAAATTAGATTCAATTTGGTGCATTCTGACGTTTTTCCGGAAGGTAAATTCCAAAATTACAGGTCTAAAAATCGCCAATAAAATCGCATAAAATGTCCTTAAAATGTTGATGGGGAATGCTCCCTTCACAGGTGAGGAACAAAATATCTTCAGATACCATATTATGGTTGTTCAAAAATCTTATAAATTCCGCTAGCATATTTTTTTTAAAATTTGATAAAATAAATGACCAGGTATTTTTTCTTATCAACGCTGCCGATAAAATTAAAAAGCAAACACAACAATATTCAACGTCAACAGGCGAACAGCCTTAATAAAACTCTTTAAATTTCAATAAACTTATATTTTCATACAATACGGTGTTAAAAAATTGCCGTCGTCAATAGGCGATTGGTCCCGACGGCAATTTATGCTGTCGACGTTTTTGGCTAATTGCCAGAGCTGTATGTGACTATTTGTTTTTGCCCACAATGGAATGAAAGTCATGACTCAACTCAATGTATACCAACTCATCGCAATTTTTGGGTCAGATTCAGGCTTTTAGATTTAAGTTTCTCGGACCCTTCAAATTTTCAAGCTTGAGCAGGGGGGGGGGGTCCGGACCCCCTGGACACCCCCTCTGGATCCGCGCCTGACTAACGCATGACAGGCGTGACCTCCTGGTGTCCTCCTACTGCTACAGACCCCCAAGCGAATTACTGAAATAATGGTAGTCCGCTAGGACTACAGTTTGTGTTGAGTACACGTTAAACTCTTTAAATGAAATTGACCTATGTTAGTCTAGAAAAGACATAGGTTGTGTTGAGGGGACGTTAAACCCCATTTCTCTCTCGCTGTGAAGAAACTGTCATGGAACAATGTCATAATACTAATTGGTGATCCATCAAGTAATCGGATAGACCATCTGTGATAAATCGACAGGTTTAATACCATAATACATTCTATTACGTATCTACTGGTTTTACCATTGACCTATTATAATATACAGGAATGAGTGAACGTACCCCCGGCTGGACTAATGAAGACGGGGGTACGCCATATAGTATGTCAGTAGGATGTTAAACCCATTTTATTTCATTTCATTTGCAAATTGGTAAAACCTACAAAGCTGACGTAAAGGCAATTGTCCGAGTAAAACTGCTAAAGTTCATTTGGCAGTAGGAATGAAAGGAAAACAGAAGTAATAACGACTATCCGACCATAATCCGGGCAAAACCACCCATTTCCGCCGCACATGTAATCAAATGCATATAATTTATAAACAAATTAGTGTTTTTGACTAAAAGACAATGGTATGGTGTTAGAAATCTAAACAGACCGACTATTATTAGAACGCTGTGTGCATCACGTGACGCGAAGACATTGGTGTTCAGATGTCAGATTCGATTTTTTTAGACAAACATAACGCAACAGAACGTGCAATTAAAATGGACAGATAATGAAGTCATGAATACGCATGAGTAACCCTGTGTTACGTAATCAACTGATAACGGAAACGGGGCTAAAGAACTGCCGGAAAATCGATGCGGGCCAGTCGAGTATAGAAAACATATGGCTCTCCCAGCAGAAAATTATTACGTCATTTGTCAATATGCCGTTTGAGAGAGAGAGAGAGAGAGAGAAAGAGAGAGAGAGAGAGTAATTTCGCATGTATTCCATTTATTTATAAGTAATTAATATTAAACCGTGAAAGTTAAATATTGTTCCAAAAGACCGAGTAACAAATTGCTTTTAAAACGTTGTTGTCTATAGGCTCATAAATACTACTTGCTAGACATCCGGTCAGTTACAATGTAAACCCGTGAAGTTAGGCAGGTAATCCCAAGAAAATGAAAGATATGCCAATGTAACAGATATCGTCCGTCTAGCTATTAGCTAACCGGAATTCATTAAAACTTTTCATTAGAGTTATTTCGTCCTTTTCTAAATAAGAATACGACACTGGATATAATGTATTTTATAGTCGACGATAATTTTACAGTGCACATATTGAAAAGACGCCGAATATCTACATTATTATTAGCCATGAGAACGGGAGATGACATCGGGTGTTCCAGTAAGAGTAATCATGGCAATCCTTGTATACAACACGAGGGACTACTTACGATCAAAACAGTCGGCAGTTTTCACTTTCATTTGGATCGCCCAAATCATTATTATGTCACTGCCAGATTATGTTTATATATAGTAATCACATCATTTTTTAAAATATTATACTTTAGATAAGTATATGACATGCCGGTGTAATAAAAATACTATGATATAACTGTTATATACCCTACCTGTGACGTAATAAAACACACTTTAATTATTTCCAATATATTCCCTGTTAAAGCCGAGTGTCGTCTGCCACTAGATTTTACTCGTCTGCTAATAAAATCAATTCTAGAAACAAAATCGATAAAACGCGCGATTTTCATAAATTATTCCATCGTTTGATTTACACGGTTGTCTCCACACACGGGTCGGCGATAAACGAGTAGCTATATTTCTACGTTGACAACCACTAAATCTTTAACAAAAAATACTTTACGATCATAACAACGTTTCATTTATTATATATTCGACTATTATCCAGTCGCATTCGTTTTTCATTAATAACACACGATTAAAAGACTTAATATTCGAGACAAACGTTTTCGGCAATATGGGTCGCTCTATTATCTGATTAAGGGGTAACAGGAGAACTTAAACGCAGATAATTATAATATTAAAAGTCGATTATATCTTCAATAAAACTAATCCATTCCCAATTATATTTAATTAAATATTTTTAAAATAATAGCTACCCTTTAATAAATATGTGTCTCTTGCATAAGATTATTACTTACCATACCCCCTATTAACAATTGACCTGTCTGAATGGTAATCCCTTTGAAGAGAGATTTGGCTTTCATTGAGTGATATAGTGTATTGTATATGTGTATAACGGTAATCATATGTACTTATATTAATTCTCGGGTATATATATCAAACCATTGTATATGTCGCCAATTAGTTACAATTTGACGTACAGGCTATAATATACATGATAACAGATAAGGAGTACGTTTTAAAGCTCCGCACAGAGTTCCCCATAGTAAATGAAATGAAATGGGGTTTAAATGTTTGACGGACTGGATGTATGCAGTTATAACAAACAATCATTCAGATAAGGTTAGCCTTTTAACGTGTTCGTAGAAGAGCTTCATCAGGGTTCCCCGTAGTAAAAGAAATGAAATGGTTATTTTTACAGTTTTAACAAATCAGGTTTCGACTCCCCGGTTGTACGTGACAAGGAGTAGGGTCGCCTGTCCAACCTCGTGGGTTTTCTCCGGGTCCTCCGGCTTCCTCCCAATGCTAGAGACCCCTACGCGTAAGCGAATTGTTGAAATAAAATTGAACCTATGTTAGTCCCGAAATGACCTAGTTTGTGTCGAGTGAACGTTAACCCCCCTCTCTCTCTCTCTCTCTCTCTCCCCATCTCTCTCTCTCTCTCTCTCATATTACACTATATTTTCCCAATTGGTGCAGCAAAATAGGACGTTACACCCCATTTCATTTCATTTGGATATTCCTGAAAAGGAAAAGCTCTCCCTCTCTCTCTCTCTCTCTCTCTTTCTCTCTCTCTCTCTCTCTGTCTCACAAACCATTCAGCTCGCTCTTTTTTTTAAAGGGTTTGTTTTAAAGAATTTAAGGTCAACGTATTAATTATATATAGGTTTGCGTTAGTGTAACCATTCAGAAAAAGCGCGCGTTAGGGTTTTCTAGCTAGGGAAACGTATCCCGTCCCGCAAAAAACTAATACAACAACCCATGCAGGATGGAAGGTATAAAAGACGCCAGAGAGGTTAACACAAACTATCTTGCTCAATCGATGTTTCATTTCTTGTACTATATTATATATATTCTTAAATTACGATTGATTTGTTGTACATCCATGTATCTATTTTAAATGGTTTTATTGTATTTGCATATAACCTTAAATGAAATGAAATGAAGTGGGGTTTAACGTCCTACTGTTCTGCTATAACTTTAAAATAAAGATTGTTCTCGCAAAGTATAGATGATAAAAAAAAATATGGCATTCTAAAAGTTTGATCATGTGATTGGTCATATATATAAAAATATGGCATTCTAAAAGTTTGATCATACATGTATATATATATATATATATATATATATATATATATATATATATATATGTGTGTGTGTATTTAATGTTTATTTGTCTAAATATTCATCTCCCGGACATACCCCGTGCAGTGTGCTATGAGGCATGGAATGAAATGAAATAGGTTTAACATCCTGCTGTTCTGCTCCGGCTGGGCTAATGAAGACTGGCACACGCCATACAGTGTGTTATAAGGGAAATGTTTCATGGACAGCGGGGCTACGGCCTACTATTATATCGAATTCCAACTGCCAAACGATCTTTTACGTGCACGCCAATGTGTACACGGGACCTATCAGAGCGACTAGACAGCTGTCCTGCCCTCTATAAGGGAAATTGAACCCTGAGAGCGGCCTACTCTTATTTCCGGTTCCAACTTAAAGGTCTACGAATAATAGTTATGATTTTAAATTCACATGTCGAGGTGCATGTTCTGTATTATTCATGACTACTATTCACATATCTGTAGCATTTGCTTGATAAACACGAGAGTATCCTCGTCGAAACATTGGCTTAGTATTAAACTCAGTAATTCTGTATCCATAAAATTGTACCTTTCAAACCTTGTGTTAATTTGTTTTTTAGTTAAAAAATTGTCTCGGGGACAAGTCTCTGGGGTCTCATTTTGGCTTCGCTACGCTACCCTGACAGCGCCCCAACGCGAATTGGGTTCGAAGGGCCTGCACTCCTAACCTAATTATTGAAATAAAAACATTATATAAATATGCCATACTGACCCCCAAATTACATGATTAGTACCGAGTGGACGTTAAAGGACAATATTAATGTCAGCCATTATCACAATGTGATAGAACGAGAAAAATAGAAATAGCCCGTACATTCCCTTGTTTTTATTCATTCTATACTTAATAAACTTAATAAAGATATGGCAATGCACAGACTTTATCTATTTTTTTCGTTTTTTCTTATCTAGTGTCAGTCAATTCTTTTTATAAAGATATCCCTTCACAGTCTCATATGACAACTTCTGGTCTGCGAAGGAATTATCAGTTTTTGCTCGTTACTTCAGTCAGTTATATAGAAGGATAAATCTTGTTTTCCATTTATTGCGTTATTTCCGTTTCTTCAAATCTTCGTTACCCATCTATCGTAGTAATGATCTCTGTGTTAAAACTATATTTGGAACGTGTTTAACCAGTTCTGTCACAATATGTGATAATGACCGACACCATATTGTCTTTAAACCCAACTTCTCTGTCTTTGCAGAAACAAGTGACAGTATTATGAATAATACACTACCAGTTATCTCCCTTCAAACTGAAGTCAATGGAGATACTCGTTTGGACGTTCCGGAATTAAGGTCTCTACAACCCAAAAATAGTGACAATCGAGTGAAAAGGGGCATTTCGGGCTACAACGCATGCACCGACCCCATAAGATAATATTTCAACCAATCATGATAGCTGTAATACATTCGTTGTGTTTAATTAAGTCACGACTCTACTCACACTTCCCGGGGCTGAAAGAACTGTGACATGACTTAATTGCGCGTAGCTCGTTTTCAATTCTGTTCCTTCGGGACGTTCCAGATTGACAATCGACCATCCTCTCGACCTATGCCCAGTTTCTGAAAGGATAACAGAACTGAACTTAGGATTATTAAAAATATTCTATAATCTCCATATAGGGATTTATGTTATTAAGAAGGGCTAGCTCTTACCAGGGACATATGTACCGTTTCCCCTTTCTGTCAAATTGAGGGGTAAAATCAGAATTTTTGTGATAATCCCATATTTTGAAAAGAAACACAACGTTATTGTGAACACAAGTCAAGGCTACTCACCTATCAAAGTTAGCCATCTTGGTATATATATATATATAGCGCTGATATTAAACCTTAAAGTTGTAAACAGTTTTAAATGACTTGAAATTTTTAACTATGAAATAATCACAAGATGTAAATATTCCACAGGTCCAGTTTTTACTGCGAGAACTTTGCTTTACCACAAAGCAAGCGGATTCTTTTCCCCACGTTTTTTTTCTATCCGGATTGTCGATACCAAACATTAACAAGCTGGACACCCTATTTTAACTTGATGATGATGAGAGAAGATGACACACCCTCTCTTCTCGTGACAGCAAATTCTAACACCGTATGTTTTGTTATTTTTTTGAGTTTTTAATTACTTTTGTCGAACTAAATTTACCCAAGCGGTTATTACAACGAAAACTTGTTAGGCGAGTGTCCGGGCAGAAATAAAAAAAAAACAAAGATGGGTCGACTCCAGATTTATATAGTTATTTCCCTTTAATAACCATCCGATATTCCACTTCAAAAAGTCATACATCTATGCGAACATGTTTTGTGGAGCTTGGCTACTATTCCGCCATTATAATATGTTGCCACAAGTGCTTTACCACCCCTTTTCTCAGTGCCTCATATTCTCTTGGCAGTGTATAGTTAATACTGGACAAGCCGCCATCTCGAAAATGAAATGGGGTTTAACGTCCTACTGTTCTGCTCCTAACTGGGCTAATGAAGACGGGCATACGCCATGCAGTGTGCGAAGAGGGGAATTTTGCCTGGACAGCGGCACTACTCTTATATCGAATTTATACTTGCGATGGCCAACAGTACATGAAAATCTGACCTATCATACAGAGCGGCTTTTGACCCTATTACGTCAAACATTTGATTAACCAATCAGCATTGATGTTTCCGGTGGAATGCCCACAGTTCCGTCCACCACACGCCAAAAGCTCGCTGTATCAGACCGTTTCATTGGCTAAACCCTCACATCATCCAGAACACGTTAATAACAACTCTTCCAGATCCTAGTGTATTGAAGACAAGTGAATCGAAATTTTGAACTATAAAAAAAAAAAAAAAAAAAAAAAAAAAAATAAAAACCAAATGTAATAAGATCCGTGTTTTAATCAGATTGAAAATACATCAACAGTCTCCGTTAACATAATATATTATTAGTAAACAACACCATTTTCCTATAACATAATGTAATATTAGTAGATAACAATATTCCCCTATAACATCATGTAATATTAGTGGAGACCAACAAACTCATTAAACATAATGTAATATTAGTCGACACCAACACTCCCTTTAAACATAATGTAATATTAGTAGATACCAACATTATCCTTTAACATGATCTAATATATGTGTACACCAACATTCCCCTTAAAAATGGTGTAATATTAGTGGACACCAACATATCCTTCAACATAACGTAATATTAATGGACACCAACATCTCCTTTAACATAATGTAATATTAGTGCACCAATATTCTTCTTAAACATTATCTAATATATGTGCACACCAACATTTCCCTTTAACATACTATTAGTAAACACAAACATTATCCTTTAACATGATGTAGCCTAATGTAAGTGGACACCAACATTCTCCATTAAATGATGTAATATTAGTCGACACCAACATTATCATTTAACATAATGTAATAAGTGGAAACCAACATTCTCCTTTAACATAATCTAATATTAGTCGACACCAACACCCCCCTTTAAAATAATATACTATTAGTAGACACCAACATTATCCTTTAACATGATGTGGCCTAATATAAATGGACACCAATATTCTCCTTTAAATGATGTAATATTAGTGGACATCAACATTATACTTTAACATAATGTAATACAAGTGGACACCAACATTCTCCCTTAACATAATGTTATATTAGTCGAAACCAACACCCCCTTTAACATAATGTAATATTAGTAGAGACCAACATGCTCCTTTAACATAATGTAACATTTTCCTTCAACATAATGTAATATTAGTGTACACTACAATTCCTTTTTAAGTACAAAGGAACGTCCTATGTCATTAGTACGTTATATTTCAAAACATACAAGACTAAAGTCGGTTGCTAGCCTAAAAAATCAAACAAACATATAGCTCGTCAGCAGAAGAATGAACTCTTTCACCCAAGCTTTTACAGCAGAGAAAGTTGTAAGTTTGGTGTTTATCTGAGAAATCGTGGTTTGTATTATCATGTAAAAGTTGAATACAATAAAAACAACTCGTGTAGACGATTATAATCTATCGATTCCATCTTGGTCCGTGTTTATATTTCTACCATGCAGCTAAAGATAACTTTTAAACGATTTTTAATTGATCCGTGTTTAATTGTCCTGGAGAAAATTAACGCACACGTACCATCGTTATCACAACTTGTGTGACGTCAAATTACAATTTACATGTGACTGGGGAATAATTTAAAATCATGGGGAGATTTATCTTCATTCTGTACACAGAGAACTGTCTACTTTCAGAATAGATCTCTGCACTGATTTTCCTCAACATTGCAAGATTAGTATACAGGGCTATTTCGTAATGCTGTTCTTTTCCGTTTTGCGTCTTTCATACCCACAAAGACTAAAAAAACCTATCCGATTCTAGTGAATGGAAGCATAATAAATACTTTTCTTCAATATTCTCGAATTATACTTAAGGACTAAAACGGTTTGCTTAAAAATAGTAATGTCGGTCATCTTACAGTGGGTTGATATATCACGCTTTTGTTAATAGTAAGTGCAAGAGGACAACACCACACACAAATTATTACACGAGACAAACCTACGGACAGGACACAATATACACAGGCATCTTAAAAAAACCCTATATATCAGATCAGCTAGCCATAAGCGTTCACTGCGCTGTACAGTCCCCGGTCTGTAGTGATATAGACTTCACTCAAAATGGAAAACAAAACAATGAATGATTCGCAGGAAGGACGTAATAGAACTAAGGTTTATCTATTAAAGATCTAATTAAGTCCTTAACATGGGAAACCTGACTGAACAGAATAAATGTAGATGTGATGGATCCGCGGAGATTTCTAAAATGTCTCAAAGGTTCCCCGAATCGAAAAAGTATGACTTGAACAGATCATGATGGCATCGGTACCATCTTGAAAAAAGTCGTCAAGCGATGCGCAAAGGAAAAAATAACACCAAGAACCGATCTTGACGCCATCTAAACGATCTTGGAAAAATCCGCAATCGAAGGAAGTTTCGACTCGATCATACTCAAATTAGCGGAGTTTTAGGGGCTTTTTTTTCGAAGAGCGTTGGCCCCAAGAACAAGAAGAACAAGCACAACAAGATGAACGCCGTTCGGGACCCAGTTGCAGATCCAAAAGGGAGGGGAACCACTGCAATGGTGCTTTAATTGCCCTCGAATATCCCCAACATGATTATAGCGAGTTTAGTGCACTGGAGAACAGTAGGACGTTAAACTCTATTTTATTGGATTTCTCACGGACTATAATTATGGACGAAGTTTTTTATCCCGGTTAGGACGTTAAACTCCATTTTATTGAATTTCTCACAGACTAAAATTATGGACGAAGTTTTTATTTTAACATCATAAACAACGAAGAACATCAAGATAAATGAAACAATGGTAAGATAAACGATGTGCTTATTGTTGGCCTACTTGTATTATTATGACAAGAGTCTGTAGTTAACGTGTTACGCTAACAATTTATCAGCAATAATAGCAACAGTGTGGATTCAAAATGCTGCAATAACAACTATTCGTTCCTCGACAGTATTTCAAGTATTTTAAGTAAAGAAACAGTTCTTTTGAAGCCAAGGTTCTTGAAGAATCAAGCACTAGCATGATGCACTCTAGTGAAGAGATTTGCTGGCATTTTACTTCATAAATAAAAGTACGAAACATGGAATGAACTTTGCCTGCGATATTATCCTAGGTGGAAGCGGACGTTAAGCTCCTATGACTGACTGGCTGATGGAATGAAGTGAAAGTGCCTTAAACGTCTCGCCATCGCAACAGTTCGGCAATTTTGAGACTAACATATTGTTGATTATGAAAGTGGACCTTGTTTTTTTGTCCCGTCCGAACGACTAGACAGCAATGTCCTTTCAGTTGCGATGGTGCTACACATGAAGTTGGGGCTTGAATATATTCGGTATTTGAAAATGCGAGGTGATCAGAGTACATGAAGCTGCCACCCTTATCTATCTTTTGTTAAAATTCATCATGCGAGCCAGAGGTGTAGAGCCGCGGTGGTTCAGTGAGTTAAACGTTGACTCTCTAATCTGGAGGTACCGTGTTACATCCCGGTGTGTTGACCGAGAAAGTTCACCGGGATATTCCGGCATGGTTCCTCCTTGTGTCAGTGACGTAGGACAGATTTTGATGTGCTGAAATGACAGGGCCAATTACAATTGTTAACGTTTTCAATGAATTCACGACTTATATAATTGGGTATGACCAACCTTTTCAAACATAGTTTAGATTTGTGACATCAGATGGAAATTTAGATAACTACACGTTTTCCTATGTAGGTGTATTGATATGTAATAATAAGTGCAACAGGACCGCACTACACACAAAACAAAACCGACAAGACAAACCTGCGGACAAGACAAACTACTCAGATTTTAAAAGAAAGAAACCACGTATTAAATCAAGGGAATGGATCCAATGGATTCGGGGGACAGCCGTAAGCGTCCACTGCGATGTACAGTCCTCGCAAAATGAAAAAAAAAAACCTTAAAATTGAAATAAATTTTTTTAGTGATCGAGTGGACCTATGACACAGAAAAACCGTAAAATTGAAATACATATCTCATGAATTTCGACGATGTATGTTTCGCACAATATTCAATTATCACGGCTTAATCGACGCTAAAATAATAAACTTAAATTAATTATTTAACATTCAGTATAAGTCGCATTATGTAAGGTTTAGATACAAAGCCGGCCTCTAGCTATAATAAAATTGATAACGCAAAATGAATATATTGAAAATCTCGTTGAGCAATGTTATCATTGTTTGATATGCGTTTAGATCATAAGGTCGGTCATTGAGTTAACTGACGTGGTTTTGATACCTATAATAATTGTGTCCGCGACAAGGACTATGGTCGCCTATATAACGTCGTGGATTTGCTGGCATGATAATCGCGACTAAAGTGTGTCACGTGTCTCAGTGTTTAGTTTTAAAACGAACTTCCTTATTCGCCTGGTCGTAGCTTTACTTACAGGGCGGTGAATACCTGTGAGTGTGGTGAACTTATTCCCTTCGTCCTTGTTTTTACTTAGAGGGCGGCGAGTAGAGCTGGTGAATATTGATTATTTATGATAATTAACAATATTTATGACAATTTATAATACTTATAACAATTAATAATATTTTAGATTTAAGATGTTTGGACTGGGTGAAAGTCTGTAACTTTGTTAAGTTTATCTCAACAGTACACCACTCTCGGTCACTAATAGAACCCCATAGTCTTTAACTTATTCTTTCGGATGATAGAGACTACCAATATATATAATATTGTTTCCTGCCATGGTTTATGTACTAATAATAACGCAATTCCAGTGTTCAAGATAAAATACCCATATTTACAAGATTATTTATTCATATGAAATATAATCTTAGTTGAGTAGGCCTATATAAGTAAAATAATCTCTGTTGAGTAGGCCTATATAAGAGGAATATCAGGATGGTAGTCCAGTCAATCTAGCTGAAAAAAGGGCCCAACCCAAAACAGATTGCAACAGAATTTCTTTTGGTGGTATGCATTTCCGTAAGGTCTCCTGCACATCATACTAAAAATGTTCCAAAATATTTTTGGTGGAAAGGGGTCAAATTGCGTAATATGCTAATTAGCATAATTTCATGTTTCAAAAATTGATTTAATGCTATTATTTGGCTATCAAATGTTCAACTTTGGTGGCAATTGTATCCAAACCCATGTTTTCGTGGCCAGGGACACAAATAAACACATTTGGAATATACTCACATAATTACCTGATGCACAATATGCAAATTAACAGCCGCCATTAGTGAAAAACTTATTTCCCCCCCCTAAATCTGAAACTCTTTGACTTAGCTCAATGAAACCAGTACCTATGCCCATAATTACAGGGTCAAGGAATCCAGTGAAAACTATTATAGTTCATGTAGGCATTTGCGTTACAGAAATTATGGTCTTTAGACCCCCACCCCACCCCAAATGACTTTCATTGAGTACTAAGACCAATATTTTACTGCAAGAGACTATCCTCGGTGTATTACTAAAAGTTTATTGTTATAAATTTCGTTTAAAGTAGCCAATATCATCCAAATTCTTCGACATTGAAAACACGAATTATTTGTCAATTTAAATCAACATTGATGTTTTCCATAATAACACTCACTCAGTGACTACAAGGGAATATTATGAGCAATACCACGTAAAAAGTCCAACACATGGTGAATGTTTAACTTATAATGTCCAGTACATGCTCTGTGTGTTATACAGGCTGCTCTGCAGCTATTATCTGTTCCATAGTAACTTCTTGTAGAGCTTGGTGTTTCTTCAGGGCATCTAGAAACTTCCATATGTTGACATGGCAACAGCTAACTGGAGTCTGAAATCATCTATGCCACCCTTCTATATTGTTGATCGTTCTTGGAGGCTGGACCATAGTTCAATTGTATAAATATTCCTACGGTTACGACTATCAGGTCTCCAAATGTCGGTATCATTCTGAAGTCAAGATTGGATTCATTGTCTGTTTGGTAACGTTGATGAGGTCCCTACGTCTGCAATTTACGGTATATCTCAGTTTCAGGAAAAGCTCTCTGGATAGACTTTTTTTTTTAGTAATCTCAAAGTCATTAATGACAGACAACAGACGACAACAGTCTTGTTTTTAAGTAGAGCACCAACACGTGGAACTATGTGGTTGTCGGTAGGAATTGGTATCCCCAGTCTTGTTTTTAAGTAGAGCACCAACACGTGGAACTATGTGGTTGTCGATAGGAGCATGTATGGTGTAAATCTGGTAAAATATATCAGGTGCAACTTTAGCGGTCTTCAGCCAACCGATGAACGGTTGAGGTCGGGACCCTCAGGTTGGTCACTGTTAAATATAGTAAAATTCCACCTGGATTGTTTGAACCACTGCCAGACAGAAGGAAAGATTCCCCATTAAAAATTTCTTTGTATTGGTCTGGTATTTTCATGGCCTGTTGAGTTGGTGGTAGAGGTACCAGCTTTCCTGGTAGTAGTCTTGAATTCTTGAAACATCTTATAGTACGTTTGAGGTGTCTAATAGGTGGAAGCTGGGAAATGGTTCCTTCTGGTAGTTTTGAGACTGCAGCAGTGACAATTGGTTCTACAATCTCTTGAGTTCCAGTGGATGGACTCTTTATGGTATTTTTCACCCCAAGAATCATTTGAGTACTGGGTCACCAGCATGAGGTTGTTCACTTTTTCTGACTGGCTGACCTCTTCTCTCTGGATCTTTACTGTGGTTTTGCATTTACCATGTCTGCGTTTCTCGCATTCCCGGACAACAGCACCATTAACACGGACTTTTGCAAATTTACTGTTCATTTTATTATAAACAATGTGCTCAATTTTCAATTGTGCTTATTTATGTGATTAACTTTGAAATAAAATTAACAACTATGTTATAATGTTTTGATAATGATTAATGTATAGGTACATTACAGTGTGAATTCATCAATTAATAAACTATATTAAAAACAAATAAAATTACTGACAATAAGATTAACTGTTATGTTTTTATAATGATTATATTATGTAATGGTGATGAAAAACGTTGAGGGTTTCTTAATACCTAAAGAGTTCCTGTGACTGTTCAGGTGTAACTGTTAAACTAGGTGTGGCACTGATTGGTGCACTTATAAAAAACATCGACTGGACTGCACTGACATACTTGTGGAGACTTCAAAGGACATAGCTGTAGCACCTCCGAAACCAGTTTTAGAGAATTCTGATGATAAAGTTTTGATAATTTGTTTGTTTTCATCAGGGCTATGTGACCACCCCCCTCCCCCCCCCCCCCCTGACAACAGTGCTCTGGTGCTAATGCTATCAGTCAAATGTTCTCCATAATGAGGTACAGATACTTTTATTACTTTCTTTGAAAGTAATAAAATGGGTGTGGGAACTTGATTTTTCAGGTTATTGCAAATGCTTTGGGTTTGGACTAATAGTGTATTTTTCAGTCATGGCCGAGGTGTCTAATTTGCATATTCTATATTATGCAATACCACTGTGTTTTTCGGCACCCTTGACCCTGAAATTATGAGCGTAGATACTGGTTTCATGGAGCTAAGTCAAAGAGTTTCAGATTTAGGGGGAAATATAAGTTTTACACTAATGGCGGCTGTTAATTTACATATTGTGCATTATGTAATAAAGTGATTATATTCTAAATGTGTTTATTTGGTTCCCAGGCCACGAAAACATGGGTTTAGACACAATTTCCACCAAATTTGAACATTTAATAGCCAAGTTATAGCATTAAGCCAATTTTTGAAGTATGAAATTATGCTAATTAGCATATTACGCAATTTGACCCATTTCCACCAAAAATATTTTGGAACATTTTTGGGATGTTGTTTAGGGGACTATACTGAAATGCATCCCAGTGAAATTAATTCTGTTGCAATTTGTTTTGGGTCTAACCCCAAATTGACTGGACTATGGTGCACCGACAATATAAACTGATCTGTTATCTACTGGTTTATTTCCCCTATACTGTAGTAGTATATTATATATCTTATAAGAATGAATATCATAGTGGTTGTGTATAGAGAGAAGTAAAAACGCGTGATTGCTATTGTACTATAAATAGCTACTTTGGGTATTTCCCTAGTCATTCTCTTTATTTACCAAAGCTTTTTTATAACTGTGATATGGCCTTTTCATACAAATTCTTAACTTAGCTGTTTTTATATTTCCATTTTGTTTCAGGAAGTTTATATATTTTTATTTTTCCGGTGACTATTTACATGTATTTTATTGTTTTGTTTTGTATTGCATCTTTTTTTAAGTTTGTAACGAGCATCTGGGCACTCGGGGAAAAATGTGCTATATAAATACACCATAATAATAATACAGTAGAGTTTAACAAAGGGGACATAGCCTTATCACACCCTCGCCAAGGCAACCGCGGGCCATAGGGACATGCGCCGGAGAATACGGATACCCCTTTTCATTGTTGATGCAAGGAGTGCCATGCATGCTTAATCCGGCACGGGACTTTCTGCAGATTAAAACCCGCCATGGCCTTCGAATATTTCGAGGGGATTATGTTAAAGTTTTATGAGCTATATTTAAAGGGGCACTATGTAAGATTCAGATAAAGAGCTTGCTGTTCTCGCTATAATAATATTTAAAACATAGATAATGCAAAATAAATGTAGGCCGATTGATAGTTTCATTCAAATATTATTTTGAGAAAAGTTGTATTGTTGACAAGACGTGTGCATGATCGTAACTACCGTACTGGTCATTCGAATCTTAGTCTCGCTTCTCCATTTTTAAATTAAATCATTAAATGGCCGAACCGTTCTAATTTCCTTAAAATCGGACATATCCCATGGCATTGAGAGTCGATTATGGTTTTGTCATGTTAATGTCTAATTAGTAATTTATATAACATTTAAGGCATTTTTTAAACAAATTTTCACAAGTTGATTTCCTTTATTTTGTTAATGTAGAATGGTAATGAATTGCTCTTTTCATTTTCTTTGTTTTATTTGTTTCGTTTGAATTTGATTTATCAGTTTAGTTTTTGATTGTTTAATTTTTGTTAATGAAGTTGATTCTTTTAAACTTTGTTTTTATTTTTGAACTCTACTTGGTGTAGGTGTTCATCAGGTAAATACCTCGACTGAGTTCAATATAGAGATTAGCCGGTTGATTTGTTGGATATAAACCTTTGAATAATAGCGCCTAACAGGCAGCTGTGTTTAATTATGTTCTCCTGATTTTGATTGTTTTTGTGTGTTTGAAGTATATGTTTGTGATATGCGCTTAGAAACACTTCACGTGTAATGAAGCGCTATATAAATCGAACAATAATAATAATAATAATAATGAAAGACCTGCAATAGGCAGTTTTAGCTCTTACATTTTCTCTCCTTTCAGAAATCTCAACGTTAATAGGAAAAACAAACTCAAAATGTCAGAACAACTACATGGTAAATATTCCACGTTTACAAATTAAAAAATGAAATGAAATTGAGTTTAACGTGATTAAACCCCGAGCTAATGAAGAAGGACATTCGCGATGCAATGGGACATTTGCTCGGCCTCATAATCTTTTCTAATTACCACTGCCACAGATTCTCTTACCCGTCAGACTCTTCTTGGTATCTCTCGGTAGCGCCCGATAATCCCGGAGAACCTGCTCGGCCAATCACAATCCTGGTTCATTTTTTACATCCAATCACAATCCTGGTTCATTTTTACACCCAATCACAGTTCTGGTTTTTTTTTACTCAATCACAATACTGGTTCATATTTGCATACAATTATTTATTTCAGTACACAAGGGTGGCGATCAAGATCAGTTTATGACAACAGACGACGGTAGGATGTTTAATAATAATACACATAGTATACGTTTTATTAAAGAAAGATGCATTATGTAAGATTTAGATAAAGAGCTTGCCGTTCTTATTATATCAGTTCCAATATACTTTATTATCAGCGGAGTTTTCGCTGTTTGAAGTTCTGACAAGATGTCACTGTGATCACTCTGGGTTCCATTGGTTTTTCTTGTAATTTTTCATTTTAATTTATTAACCTTATATTTTTTTCGCTAAAGCTTGTTTATTATCGTAACTACCATACTTTTTATTCTAGATTTAGCCATTTTTAAATTCAATCATTAAATGAAATGACGCCTGGGTTTCAATCCGTTAATATCCCCGCCATCCGATAGTTTTGATTATATGCTTGCCATGTGACTAACATTTGAAACCAAAAAAGACCTGCAATTGGCAGATTTAGCTTTTACAAAATGCATCTTTAAAGCAACCAAGTACGGTTTGATGTTTCATTTTCGCACGGCTAGTTTGCCTCGATCGCTGTTGCGTGTCAACAGGTGGGGGGGGGGCACTAAACCTCACAGCGACCGTGATTCCATATATCATGTCTTTTGTCTACATCGTGTTGTGCAATCCTCAAGGCTATTAATTCTTTTATAAAATTGTTTGCTCAATGTCACATTATTATGAAAATCATTTTTGACGTCTTTTTCAGTTGAAAACGGTTGTCCCCAATATTACCACGCCTTTGTATGTTACAACCCGGATGGCGCCGACCTGCGGTTTGTAAAAGATCTGGTTAACAAATTAGAAAGTGAGCCATATAATTTAAAATTATGTGTACCTGGTCGAAACGACTTACCTGGTGGTCCAACTCATACCATTAGTGCAAGTCTTATAAAAGATAGGTATGATGTATTTTATATGCATGTCAAATGGCACCCACGTCCGAAGTGAACTGATTTTTTCCCCCATGATTTCTAATCGTCTTCTTACGATTAGTCACCGAAATCAACCGTTCATGGCTAAAACTTGACCTTGCGCCGAAATCAACCGTTTAAGACCACACCTTGACTTTTCAGCAGAAGCAACCGTTCATAACCGGATACTCCAGACACTGTTCTATGAGGCAAATCTTGCCCGGACAGCAACACTACGGCCTACTCATATCGAATTGCAACTGCCAGTGGTTCTTGCGCGGTAGATCACAAGGTCTTTGTATAACCTGGCGTGGTTTCGCCCCCCCCCCCACCCGCGGTTGTACGTGACAAGGAGTAGGGTCGCCAGAAATAAAATTGAACCATATGTTAGTTCCGAAATGACCTAGTTTGTGGCGTGTGGATGTTAAACCCCATATCTCTTTTTCTCTAACTATAGATGCAGAAAAATGTTGATAATTATGTCACCACGATATCTACAGAGCGAGATCTGTGAATTCCAGACAAACTTTGCTGCCAGTTTGTCCCTACGTAAGTTTAATAAATAGTTCTGTAACTATGAAGATATTTTTTCTCGACAACCTAAATAAAAAAAAAAACGAGGGGCCTGGTGATGGTCATTTGTGGTAGAGCACGGCCGAGACATTGTGGCGCAAAAATGCACGTCGAATGCGACGCAAAAATCACCCGTACCTTAGACTTGCATTTGACATGCACGGCCCCTTTCGGGTCAAAAAATTGAAATTGGAAAGTTGAATTGAAGGCGAAAGATATGGAAAATGAGAATGATTGTTTCATTAAAAATCACTTATTAGAAATTGCAATGATATGGTACGAAAACATAACGATAATTCTCAAAACAATATTGTGCACTATTCTGATATGGCGATTATGACGTCACGGTACTCGTACTGAATAACACGTATTTCTGTATAATTTGACTGAACCAAACCCAGATTTTTCACGATTTTGACAACTATCACGTAGATTCTTTGGGCATGTTGCCGTTTTGCACCTGCGCGTGTACAGAAAAGTAGGACGTTAAACCCTATTTCGTTTTGAATAATACAATTAGTAACGGATATGCCATTATGAATAACATGTCACTCTTCATGTCTAAATATCGAAAAGTGCAGTTTTTATGTGAATCCACTGCTCAGGCATCCTCATTTAAGATATCTTTAATTCGTTTTAGTTACTGATTTAATTAAATGTATTTTGGAGACATTCTGTAGATATACATGATTAAAATCTGTTATTTTGACATCCAAGTTTGAATGTCGAAAATCGAGCTATTTCATTAAAAACGAGCTGTTAGATCTATTATTCCATCTAATAAAATGCGTTTCTTAGTTCTTCTATATTCATCCGAGAAATCTGTTTTTCTATTTTCAAATCTGAATATCGAAAAACAAAAATTGAGCTAACTTCACACTGCCGCAACGTGCGACAATAGTACGCCCTGAAATTCAAATTCACAGTTTGTAATTATTAATTTTATTCTCTTATTGTGAAATTTGAATCTGTAATTTTATTTTTTCTGTTCCTTAGAAATATCATCCGTAAGACTAGACATTGTTTATTCAATTCCCCATTCATGCACCACTGACAAGGGGAAACCACTCTGGAATTTCTGAGATACTGTCGCGGACAGCACCGGGGCGAACCCGTGAGACCCTGGTTTGTGAGCCAACGCCTTACTCACTGACTACACCAGCCAATATAAAACACATTGAAATGTTAAAGTGAAAAAATGTTTCTTTGTAATTTTCAGGTGCTCGAAGTATGCGTCTTGTACCATGTCTTATAGAAGACTGCCAGATTCCCAACGTTTTAATACCTATAGGCATGTGTGATTACACAAGAACGAATATACTGGACTGGACATGGGATAGACTTGTATTTTCTTTAATGGGATCTCTTGATTCAACAGAGTGGGAAAGATCGCGATCTGAACCCTCTTTACGGCTATTACCGACTTTTAACCAAATCAATAATAGTTAGCAGCTCCTTCAACTCCAAAATCAAATAGTTCATCCTCAAGCTTCTCCATAGTTTCCAAAAGTCTTCCCAGCAGCAGTTCATCTTCAAGTAGCAGCTTCCCCACCTACAGCTTCCAGGAGTCTTTCCAACAACAGTTCATCCTCAAGTAGCATTTTCCCCACGGCTTCCAGGAGTCTTTCCAGCAGCATTTAGGGTGTAACTTCAACTATTCATTAACCACTGATCCGATTGTAATATGCCTAGCGCTTCTACGAGACACAAGTTTTTAATTCATTTTCCTCATCTCCCGGGAGTCTTCCCAATGACTGATTGGGTGCTCCTAAATCCCTCTTGTGTAACTTCACCAGTGATCCAACTGTAGTATAACTAGGGACTTCCACTAGGCGCAAGTTTGTAAATAATGTTCCATGTACTTTTATAAACTATATATGTTGCCAATTTTATCTCTAATAGTAATGACTGTCCAAAATGGCATTATGGCCTTCTTTTCTTACACGGGAAGCGGGTAAGATTAGATAGTAGGTAAGACCGAGATATCGGCGATACAATAACACTGTTATGATAATAAACGAAGTCTCGATTATCCATTTTTACGGTAAATCATCAACAGTTAAACATATTTAAATTTACCTAATATCCGAGTCATCCAATGGCATCGAGAGTTGATTATGGTCTAGGTAAGTCAATAAATGTCTAATCAACAAGCCAACAGTGAGGCCGGTGTACCTCCGCCGAAATCACAAAATAAATAGATGGCACAGGTTAATTAATTTCACGTTTACCTTTTTCAAAAGTATGGAGCAATCAAACTGATTATCTATACTAAGTCTAAGCACAAAATGTTCACGATCAAACTCGATAAGTTTATTTAACTACCTGATAGTGAAAATTTAAAACCAAGTTTGAATCAAGGTTATCTTGTCCCAAGGCATCGAACGATGATATTGCTTAGCTCTGCTTAGCTTTAGTGGGAAATGTTAATCATTGAACTCAGTCAAGACATTTACCTAATGGACTAGGCAGGAAATTCTCATCACCCAACTTAGTCATGGTATTGATATAATGAATACATACTCGGAGTTTCATTGCTCTCTCCCAATAAGAACCCTAGTTATCGTGTTCCATGGTCTCAACCAATCAAACTGCTTATCTCTGCTTAGCCTACATAAGTACTAATGTGGATTAAACCATAAGAAATCTGATATTTTCCGAGAAATGTAAATCATGTATAGTTACTTTAAGCCCCAACATTTTAACATTTTAAGTTTGTAATTAATTGCCTTTGTACATTTTAACATACGTGGTTTAATAAATAAAATATTAAAATTAATTTCATTCACTCTCTACCGACTCAATAGAATATCTTTAAACACAAGATACTGTTTGGGATAAGTTTTTAATTAATTAATTGCTTTTGTACATTTTAACATTTTAACATATATGGTGGTATAGTAAATAAAATATCAAAATTAATTTCATTCGCTCTCTAATATATCGACTCAATAGAGTATCTTTAAACACAAGATACTGTCCCCTTTTTTATAATCCCGAAATAATTTGGGATAGGTGCAGTAATTACAACGCACTATCAGTGGGGGTACAAGCAAGGCCTTATATACTCTTCAAAAAGACCGGTGTTGTTCCACTCTCGTAACGACTGTTTCCCTATAAAGGGTGCTGGCTGGGCTTCGTATATTGATTGATGATTGAAACTTATGTTACAATACAAACAGAATGTGCTTTATTTAACTTGTCTTGCCTAGAATATACCACAGAATACACCGCACTGGACCCACACCTCTTATATTCTTAATTCAACCCCTCAACACCCTTCGACTTGCCCCCCCCCCCCCCACCTTCCCGTCACAAGGTTAATTCGGTCCTGGATTAATGTGTACCAATCTTCGTACTACCGCTATCATTGTCCATGGTTGATATCCTGTACTACTGGAACTGTTCATTGTTGATATCATGTATCACTGTGCCTGCCCATTGTTAATGTCCTGTACAACTGTCACTGTCCATTGTTAATATCCGGTACCACTGTTACTATCCATTATTGATATCCGGTACCACCACCACTTTCTATTGTCGATATCTGGTATCACGTACGTGAATCATAAAACAGCCAGCCAGTCAAAGAATGAAATGAAATATGGTTCAACGTCCTACTTATCAGCACCGAATGGGCTAACGAAAACGTCCACTTTTAAGTCTAGATTTAAATGGAGCAATTTACAGCTTCTGAAGTCTATTAAAGAGATTTATAAACATTTACTGGTTTCAGACAATATTCCTCTCTTTTTTTATGGCTTAAAGATGCATTATGTAAGATGTAAATAAAGAGCAAATAGTTGTCGCTATAATAGTTTAAAAATAGATAAGTACAATATTGAAAATGTCAGTCAAATTACTTCATTCTATGGATAACAAACACTATACTATTATATACACACTACGTTTCCACAAGATTTCACTAGTCATTATTAAGCATACATTACATTTTACGAACGTTTGAAGAACAGGGCGGTCTGGATTTTCATTGATACCGTTGTTGGTATTTTACGATAAGAAACGCGATGGTTGGTTATGGACTTATATAGTTTATATAACATTTGAAGCCAAAATAAAGACCTACCGTAGGCAGATTTAACTCTTACATAATGCATCTTTAATTAACCTGGAAGTTGATCACAGTTGTTCTAATCATGATCTAGATCTGTTATTAGAATATTGAAACTGATGGACAATGCCCCCCCCCCCCCTCCCCTTTAATGTTTTAAAATGTTGAGTTTTAACTTCAAAGGAATAGATTTTGTGTTGATTCCTGATTCGACAGATTTTGATGTGCTGAAGTGACAGGGCCAATTACAATTGTCATCGTTTTCAATGAATTCACGACTTATATAATTGGGTGTGATCAACCTCTTCAAACATAGGTTAGATTTGTGACATCAGATGGAATAATCTGATATTTACGTTTGTAGGGAATTTAGATAACCGTGCACTACCAGGAACTGAATACTGCAATTTTAGTTTTAAAAAAATTGAGAATGGTTCAACAATAGGCATCCAGAGAGACAAATAGGGTTTAAACTCCAATCTATACAAACTAGGTCATGTCGGGACTAACATATGGTTCAATTTTATTTCGATAAATCGCTTGCGCATAGGATTGTTTTTTGCTGTGGGAGGAAACTGGGAGACAAGAAAAAAACGAGGCTGGACAGGCGACCCTACTCCTTGTTGCGCAACGTTGGGAATAAAAACCACGCCACTTGTCTTAATGGCAGCCCCTATAATCTAACACGCACGTATCAATATTATGTATATTTAGTGAGGAGATTTTTTTTATAGGCCTTTTCATTCGGCTATACACTGAATAAAATTATTGTTTAAAAAAAATCTTTTACAAATAAATACAATTGAATTTAGTGCAATATTAAGTTTAAAGACCTTTGTAACAAACTGGTGGAATATGATTTATTACAAAATTACTATAAAAAAAACAACCTTGGTAGAAACTGGATTAATATTAGAGGCGGGAACAAGTCGTGGGACCTCGAATCTGAGTCGAGTCCCAAGTCGCCGCAAATTGGTCCGAGTCGAGTTTCAAGTCGCCGCACATCGAATCCGAGTCAAGTCCCAAGTCGCTGTCTTTAGTACCATCAAACCGAGTCCAAAATCTCTTATAAGTCGCTAGTCCACCAGGGGAATGTTCAGTAGTCCGCAGGTTCACTAGTCCGCCGATATCTATTATTGCCATTTTTACGATTGATGATCACATGTAAATACACACCCGTAACGAACACTGACAATAATACTAACGCTCCCACACTGACAATAAAATGTAAAACACCAACCCCGACCGACAATGAAATGTAATATACCAACCCCGACAATGGTATGTACGCAAAGCACTGACGCTGACAGTGTGACGAATTTTCCAAGAATTGATTGAATTCAACATAAGAGTAGGCCGGTAGTTTCCCCTCGCAGTACACTGTATAGCGCATGCTACCGAAAGGAGGGAGAAACTACGCTGCAGAATCCCGGGGAGCTTACTTGACCAACACCAGGTGCAGTGTACATAATCAAACTGTATATTGAGAGGAAGAAAGCCGACAACCCGACATTTTAACAGGACAATACGACATTTTTACGCGACATTACGACATTTTTAAAATTGTCGTATTGTCGGGATGAAATGTCGTGATATCGGGTTGTCGTATTAAAATGTCGTATTGTCGGCTTATGAAAGACGACACAACGACATCGCGACATGATACCAATCAGCCACCATGCCTGCTGTTTTTTCAAAGTCAATTTTCGATATACATTCCAAGTAGAGCCGCAAGTCGGGTCTTTGATGTGACCTTATTCGGACTCGAGTTCCAACCTCTAAATAATATTGCTTCTATATAAATACCTTAATAACCAATAAAAGAAATACAATTAGTAGAATCGCTTGCCCAACCTGTGTGTTTTCATACAGGTCTTCCGATTTCCTCCCACTGCTAAAAAAAATAACACCCAAGCGAATTATACAAATTAAAATATACCGCGTGCTATTTCTAACATGAACTAGTTTGTGTCGAATTGACGTTAAACCTCATGCCGTATGTTGTATATTCTTATTAAATCAATACTGTGGACAGATATAGTTTCAGACTTAGAAAAAAAAAAAATAAAACCGACTTTAAAAATCAGTTGATTAGTTAAGTTTATAAAACGACTTTTAAAAATCAGTTGATTAGTTGAGTTTATTTGTAGTTTCATAGACAGGTCGGATTCATGTATCATACGGATAGGTTTCAGACCACTTGAAAGCCCACCTATAGAAAAACATAAACTATTTTTGTATAATAAGGAGCAGGTGTGTGAAGGATATTGTACTTATTGACATGCTATATATTCTACAAGGTGGGATTGAAAGATAACATGGCTCGACGCTCTAATGAATCTTTGTCTTTTTAAAAAATGTTCAGGACCCATCTGTCGACATACAGAGAAATAAAATGAAATACAATGAAATAGGGTTTAAGGTCCTACTGTTCTGCAGCGACAGGACTAATGAAGATGGACATACGCTATGCAGTGTGCTATGAGAGAAATATTGTCCGGACCATCGGCACTATATGGCCAACCCTTATTCCAAATTCCAACTGTCAAGGTTCCTTTAGTTGGTCTAGTGAATCCGAGAATATGTGGGCCGAAAGGCGTTATTTATGCAAAATTGAAAGCCCCAGTGTAATTGTGTTAAATTTACAGTATGCGGGCATTTTGAAACTATTTTATTTGTCTTTGATTTTCTTACACGTAGTGATGTGGTGTTATTTGGTTGTTTATTTTATCTTTTGTTTGCCAGTAGTACAAGATAAACCCTACACGTTAGCTGGACAAATCTGTTTATTAGAATCTGAGCGCACTCCGCTTTATGCATTGCACACACAACAACAGTAAAATAGCGTTTAGCCTAGCTCACAACCCGACGTACGTCCTACAACGGGTAGTCTATTGAGGAAATTTTAGTAAACCCGTGCGCGAAACTTACGTAACTTGGGGTGTGTTCGGCACCGTAGAAGATCCCAGACTTGCCGTAGAGACAGACATATTTTTCACCCGGTTTCTTGCGATTGGTTAAAGAGCTACCAAGCCCTAGGACCCGTGCGTGTCCAAACACGTACGAATGTTGTGAGCTAGGTTTCAGCTAAACAGATCTGTTTATTTGATCAGTGCGCACTCGGCTTTACGCACTGTACCATTAGTCGTATGTTAATCTAAGATGACCAATGCATTGTGGTGATCTCCCGCTATTTGTGATTCATTCATAAATCTTAGTGAATGGGCGTATTGGTCCTATACGTTCAAGAGATCATCCGCGATCACTGCTTACAGATTTTTCACGCGTCTGCCCCTTTTACTCGGCGATCAATTTGATAGTGTTAAATCTGCTCTGCTGCCGTATCCTCGTTTCTTTACGTCCACTAGGTTTCATTCTCTCTCGTCGCTTCGACAGCAAATTGCCACGGATCGATGGTGGAGTGTCGACGAGAGAAGCGCAAGAAGTTACGCTATGGTATGACAGTTCTCCATCAGCCGGTGGTTAGTCCACGATCTCTCCGCCAATTTCAAATACTTCTTAGAAAAAGATCCGTGAACGTTCCACTTATGTGAATGGAAAACTTGATCTAAAGCGCACAAATTAATAAATCTGGCTAATTTAATTCAACCAAAAAAAAGTTCGGATCAGAAAGTTTCAAAGTTAAAAAAAAAGTTGTTTGTGAAGTACGCCATGTTCTTTTACCGGGGTCATTTATAATGGCGGTGCTTTTTTAATATTGCAAACGATTTCGTTTCAGAGATGCGAAATTCTTAGGGAATATTAAAATTATTTTTTAAATGGATGGATATTTTTTGTGGATCGTGTTTTTATTAAAATGAAAAATAATTCTTCACTTGAT